AAGCAGTTTTAATATAAGCAAGGCAAAGCAAAAGTCCGCGCGCGGAAGCAAAAGCAAACAGATTTAGTCTCTACTTCCCATGGACAGGCGATGTCGGGCCTTCTCAGGAAGCAGGGCTCCGATACGCGTAGTGGTTGCCTCGGAGGACCAAGGGTGACCCCACCCCCTTCCTCCTTTCTCCCAGCTTTATACTGAGCAAACGTCATATGGTATGGAATATCCCTTTGGTCGGTTTGCGTCAGCTGTCCTGGCTGTGTCCCCTCCCAAGATCTTGCCCACCCCGTCCCACTGGGGGAAATATCAGAAAGAGCCTTGGTGCTGTGTAAGCACTGCTCAGCAGTAGCCACAACACCAGGCTGCTATCAACACCCTGCCAGCTCCCAGCATAAAACACAGCACCGTGAGGGCTGCTGTAGGGGAAAGCCAATTCCAGTTCAGCCAGACCCAGTACAGTGCTCCTTCAAAGCGGCCTTTTCCAGGTTGTTCCCTCAGCCTGCTGTCAGTGTGGCAGAAGAGGGCTCGCTCTGTACACAGCCTGTCCTGGAACAGCTCCCAGACAAGGGCCCGGCCCGAGCAAGAGCCCACAGCCCCAGCTCACCCACTGACCCTTGCGTCACGCGCAGGGGCCGTGTCCCGGCCCACAAACAGGCCCCTCCTGCACGCCCGCACGCTGCCTTTCTGCCCGAGAAGCTGATGGGATACCCGAGAAACGGAGCTGTCCCACTGACACTGGAAAAACGCCAGCCCTGCCGGGGGCACGGCAGCCTCGCGCTTTCTGGAGAAGTCAAACGTGCTGAAGGTTCGCATCTTGAGGCTGTGGCTGAGAAGACTGCAGAGGCGGTCTTGCAAACACAAAATCAACCTGAAGTGGAAAAATGGTGGAACCGTGACCTTGTGACGGAGGCTCTCAAATAAACAACCAACCACCAACCATTTAAAAAAATATTACAAACACAATTAACTAGCTCTCCCTAAATTACAGCTTCGAATGTCTTTGAGAGGAGAACAGAACAACTTTCTAGGGTTCAACAGCAACCCAAAACACATGACAAAGTACTCTATCGGGTGTATTGGCAACCCAAACCGCAGAACAAAGCCCCGCTCCCTGGGGTTTAACAGCAACCCAAAACGCTTTATCACTCACCTGACAAGTCAAAACCAGGAGAAATCCTGATGACACAAGAAAAAGTGAAGGAGCAAGAAATTCCACCAGAGTTGGATTCTGCAGTGATTCCTACAGTATGGGAAACAGATATTCCTGGTAAATGCAAACTAGCAACGCCTGTAAAGACTGATTTAAAAGAAGGTGCAGGGACAGTAAAAATTAAGCAATATCCAATCAAACCAGAAGTTAGACAGGAACTGAAGAAACTAACTGACAAATTTCTGGAGTACAACATTTTAGAAGAATGTCAATCTGAGTATAATACTCCTGTTCTACCAGTCAGAAAACCCTCAGGTGAATATAGGTGAGTGCAAGACTTGAGAGCAGTGAATCAAATAGTCAAGGACATCTATCCTGTGGTGGCAAATCCTTATACATTGTTAATAGTGTTAGACTCATCAGTGGTTTACAGTGCTTGACTTAAAAGATGCTTTCTTTTGTATACCTTTGGAGAAGGAAAGCAGAAAATTGTTTGCTTTTCAGTGGGAAGGTCCACAAACAGGATGAAAGATACAGTTGACATGGAAAAGACTACCCCAAGGATTTAAAAATAGCCTGACGATCTTTGGAAACCAGCTGGCAAAAGAACTTGAAATCTGGAAACAGGACAAATCAAGGCCTGGACATTTACTTTTACAATATGTGGATGACATACTGATTGATACAGAAGAAAGATTTACCTGCATACAGGTAACAACAGACCTCTTGAATTTTCTGGGAATGAATGGGTACAAGGTATCCAGGAAGAAAGCCCAAATAGCCTGCCAGACTGTGATACGTTTGGGCTTTGAAATTTCAAAAGGGCAACGACAATTAGGAAAAGATCGCAAAGAAACCATTTGCGGTATACCTGACCGAACGGCAAGAAAAACAGCAAAGGAACGAGTATTTCAAATAGCATTAATTCCCTCCACAACAGTAACCCTTCCTAGGGAAAAGCCAAAATATTCAGAGGAGGAGGAGAAGTTAGGATGATTATTAAATGCTAGGAAAAATTTGGCTGCATGGTGGGTAACCCCTAATGGACAAAGAGTAATTCCACCTCTGCTGATGACAGAAATAATTCAAACAAGGCATCAGGAATGTCACTGTGGGGTGGAAGCCTTAGTAACTTCTTTACAAAAACACGTGGTCTCAGCCAAAAGGTTAGGACTGGCTCAAATAATAGCTGCAAAACGTGACACATGTTTGAAAAATAATCCAGTGATCAAGAAAAGACTCCAAATGGGTAGGTTAAAATCTGGTACAGAACCTGGAGATTACTGGCAAGTGGATTTTTCAGACTTACCTAGGCAAAATGGGTACATCCTGGCAGGGGTTGAACAAATACTCTGTTCCTCAGTCCTATGTGCTCTCCAGATCCTGCCTCAAATTTAACCCCTGCTAATTGTGGCTGTGTCCAAACAGCTCAAAAGATCTAAAATGCAAGAAGCTCACAACCCACTAAATAACAAGAATATGCCTCTAACCCTGCTCGTTCTCATTGAAGAGATCTTCAAGTACAAAATAAAACCTAAAGAAGTTAAGTATGTTTTGCATAGTCACAAGGGGAGGCTTCTGGTTTTGGAAGTTTTGGAACTTCTTACTGATTTGAAGCAGGTCTTTGGAGTGACTAACAGCTTCACTGTGTCCACAAGAGAACACACCGTATTTTTCTTTCTTTCTCTCTCCATTTTCACCTGAAAACTGATTGGAAATACAAGAATGAAAGACAGGAGTCATTAAGATTAAAGACAGGAGTCATTAAGATTAAAGACAGGAGTCATTAAGATTAAACCTATCTCCACTGCAAGACCCAGGTTTAACATGGTTTCATGGTAGCTGATTTCTGAGACATTTCTTCAATATTTCAATTTCTTCTGTACCAGAAATGATTTACACAGTGTCACATCTGAGAGCTTGGAACACCACAAGATAACCAAATATTAAATGATGCTTACCATTCTAAAAGAATTTTAAAGGATCTCTGGGCCTCTGCCTTAAAAACACTGAGGACTTGTAAAAGATGAAGGGCAAAAAACGGTCACTGCCTTCTTCCAAGGATTCCTTTTGTCGTTCCTTTAACTGGAGCAGAAATCGCCCATCCACCACCAGCAGCTCATCCACAGAGATGAAAAGCTTGTTGATGACTGCATTTGGGAACTGCAGTTCCTCTCTCGTGGCTTTGGAGTGCACCTTCGGCGTTACTTTCAGTGTCCTAACATGGTGCATTTCAGTCTGCATTAGTCCTGGGCAAGGGGAAATAAAAAAAAATCAAGAGTCATTTATATGCTGTGCGATGACTACCGAGATATAAAAGAGCAGGCTCCGAAAGCCACCATCTTTTGCACCACCACCTTCTTCACCACTGATGTGAAGCTCCTAAATTTGCCCTGCTAATCTCTCAACCCAACAGTGACCGACCCTACTTATTTAGCGACATCTCCCAGTTGCAGTTGAGCTGTTAGCTGGGCTTTGCTGCTAACACAGGCATACTGAAAACTATAGGTTGCTTGAAGTTATTAATAGGAGGACTCGGGCACAGCAAGACAGGTAACAGATTTGAAAACCTTCCCTCAATTTTAGTTTGCAAGCACGAGTCAAAATGGGAGACAGTAAAAATGATTTCTGCTTTGTTTCAGAACAGTGACACTGTGAAATAGAAAAAGTTGTAAGAACAAAAAATACTCTTACCATAAATGACATCTTGCCTTCTTATTACGTCTTTCTTTTGTCTTTTTGCATAACTGTTCCACTGCAACACTCCAACACGCTGCTTCAAACTCATGAGCATCTGCTTCTATTTCACTCCGGAGGGATACAGAATATGCATCTAGACCACAAGCACTTTCAGTATCAATTATTATTAAATTGTTTCCCTGGAACTGGATTGCTTCTGCCACTGCTTTTTCAATTTGTATTCCCCATGCTCACTGCTGGCTGCCCTCAGACTTGGCACAGGGAAGTGGCCCCAGAGATGCACTGGTTTTATACTACCTGTGATCCTTCTAGAAATGTAAAGCTGCCACTTAACTTACTGTACTGCCTAAAGCAGCAGGTCTGAAGGGCAGGGAATTGGTCCCTACTGTGCCCATATAGTGTGGAAATTGCAGTTTCTTCTCCTTTAGTAAAATACCAGAACCTACACACAATTATTCACACCCTACCATACAAGGGCATTTCATGGCAAACAAGAACAATCTGAGATCACATCAAACCCCCCAGTTCTTTGCAATGCTTATTGCTACACAGTGATTTATAGCAGCATGCACACACACTGAACATAAAAGATACCAGGGCTACATTTAATTTTAATACAGCAGCTTTGAAATGCTTTTTAAATCGAGACAGACCGTAAACTGGAAAGATATTTCAAACTTTTATCACTATTGCACAATACGTGAAAGCCTGTAATAGACTTATGAAAAATGGATACAATTATTTAGCACTAATGTCTGTAATGAAGGATAAGGAACAGGAGACAAAATACCTCCTTTTAAAAAAGGAACTTCAGGGAAGTCAAAGGTGAAGAATCAGCCAGACAATTTTTAAAACTGATCACTGGCAAGGTCTGCGGCTGGCCCTTTTTCAAAGTGCTTTTAAGGACATGGGAGTGGACGAGATCTCATGGATCCCCAAGCCCAGGACCCTCCACTGCAAGCAAGCTTTGTCTTCCACCCCGACCGAACTCCTCCTCCAGCACTGTGTCTGGGAGGCTGCTTCAGGACCAGCTACTGCAGCAGTTCAAGAGGGTCTCCAGTTCCCAGCCAAGGTTTATGCATTGCTAATTGACAACTTTTCTTGTAAAAGCACCGGTGACTACCAAACCCCAAAAGTTCCCCTTTCTTAGTCTGTACCTCCACTAATAATTACCTCTATCGATCGCTGTTAACCTATCACACCAGACCAGACTGTGCACCACAGAGCTGTTTCAACAACAAGCCCTACAGCCAACTTTTCCTATCTTCATTATCCCTTATTGTTTCCTATTTTAGCCTCTGCACTTTCCCCTAAACGCACAAACCCGTTCTCGATAAGACAAACAGCCGCTTACCTTCCTACAACAATTACTGCCTTTGTGCTACGTCTTGGTAAGAACCGTTTCATAAAGAAGTACACCTTGCCATGCGAGTCAAACGGTACCTCACAAAACCATATGAAATGCACCGAGCAATACTTGGACATTCATGTCAGCTGTGTTTCTTACAGCCAAAGCAACCAAACGGACCATCTGCAAGGCAGAAGGTAATTCTGCTCTAGTTCCCATCGGACACCTGAGAGCCAAGAAGCCTGCTCTGTTAGTGCAGACCCTGTAATGTCTACAAATGAAAATGCCTTTTAAATTATACACCCGTGGCCATGATGGTCTTTTCTGGCAGCAAAAAGCATTTCAAAGTCTATGCTGCAATAGAGCTGTTCTTTCTTTTTTTCTCCCAGATCCCACTTTGTTGCAACAAAGATTTACGTTCAGACCGTTAGTGCTAGCTGCTGTCAGAGATTTCTAGCAACCGCTAGCTGCAGGCTAGTTTTAAATGGACAATTATGAAAATCTGATGTAAAACAAAGTTCTCAGTTCTAGTCTTTTCAGAGACCAGAGAACAGACAATCAGTGAAAGAACTAGCTTATGGATCCCTTTTCACCAAGATATTTTGAGGTCATGCAGCAAAAAGGCAGAAAGAAAAATAAAAAGATAAAAAAAGACACACAGGAGATTGCTAAGAGCCTCTAAACCACACCCAGTAGGAAAAAAAAATTAAGCCATCTTATTAAAAGAGACCTTTTCTATACTTCATTAACACACTGTGTATAGACTTTAAAACATATTTCAAAAAAAATTACAATCAAACAGGTAAGTCTTGAGCACAGAAATCATTCTTTGGTACAAACCTGGCGCAATGCACTGGGGTGAACTTTGTGGAGATCCAGAAGGTCTGTGCTGCAAATCTTCCTGCTAGAGGAAAAAATACAATATTCTTACCCACCTAGACCAAACTTTCAGTTCAAAATGAATCATGTTTCTCCTATCAGACAGCACTAACTGCAAGTGAAGCTGTATACTGAAAGTAGAAATGATTTCACGTAGCAGCAGTTTTGATATTTTCACATCCCAGAATGGCATACAGACATCAACACTCTGTATAAAAATCCTATCAAGTATAGATCACACTGAAACAGAACCAGAAATGAAGCTACAGCTGAATTAAAGCTATGATAATAGATAATATATTAAATGAAAGCAAACCCTTGACGTAGTAAAGGTAAATTTGTTACCACTTGGTTTACATCAATACTGTTTTGCTGATCAGGGATACGAATTAAACTCAGACCCAGAGTGAAAAGAGCAGGCATATTTTACTGAAAATAACTAAATAATATAACAGAATAATACAGAAAACATACAGTAAGAAAAGACAGAACAGTGTGCTTAAAGAAATAGGAAAATACAGGGTAATGCATCAAATCATCACTACCTGAGAAAGAGCATAGCCATTAAGAAAGATCCATCACCACTTGCCTACTTTACCATCATCCAGCCCCGCAGTGGCTGGGCAGCCCCGGTTGCAGCGAGGGTTTGCAGAGCCTGTCCCGGCAAGTGGGAAATCCTAGGCGGTGCCTCCACCCATAGGTGAGGCTTCCAAAGTCCCTGTGAGCGGGCCCAGCCTTACATACTTAAGCCAGACAGCTGTCTCTGCGGCCCTGTTATCTTGCCTACACGCAAGGAAAGATAAGGAGAGATAGATGTGTACATATTTAGCATAAACATGTTTAGTACAATACCTACTAATACAGTGCTTGTCAGCTATAAAATATACAGGATTGATCTATAGATTGACTCTGGCTTGGGCCTCTTGTCCAAGCCTTAGCACTTCAAAACCCAACTAAACTAACCCAGCCAGCTAATAAAAAACTAGACTGCCTATTTAAAAATGCACCTCTGGTAACCTGTACAACTTTCTCGTTCTCACAACACCAGGATATTACAATTCACTGAAATAGAATTTATCAAAGGTGCAAAGAAATTCAGTAATACACTCTGTAACAAATGGCTTTTTGAGAGTCTTGCTTCACTCTGAGGATCTAATTTCTGACTTCATCCCTCGTGGGGACGAATTCCCAGGCAGGCCAGCAGAGAGACTGGAGACAGTCAATATGACTGGAAGTCAAACTCAAGCTTTATTAGCAAGCAAGCCCTTAGATACTCTTGTGCATTCTAAAAGTAGCAGCAAGCCCTTACACACTTGTTGCTATCTTGCGTCACTCTTTGCGGTGGTTTAGGCCCTGGCGGGACCCGAGACCACGTTGCCGTTGTCCCTCCCCCACCCTTGGACCAGACGGGGCAGGGACTGAGATACAAACCCCGGGGTTGGTTTTGTTTTCAGAGGGCTTCTTTTCAGGGACGAAACCATCTTACTCACCTGAATCAGCAACGACAGAAATTGTCATTCGGTGTGTTTCTCTCTGTGCCTCAAAGGAACCTGTAACATAGATGAAGAAAATCCTTGTTGTCTTGTGCCTTAAGCAAGATGACTTCTTTATGGATGAATCAGAAGTACAGCTCTCGAGAAACACAGATACGTGTTTTTATCATGGTGGGAAAAATGAAGTATGATCACTCAGTTTTAAAGGTGTTTTCATTTTAACTGATCCCACAGGAAAGAACCTGTAGGAAATGGCCTTATTTTCAGTTACAACAATGCTGCTCTAAACTCGGACACCCAAACACAGGAAAGGGCAAGAAATGACAACCTGACAACACAATGGTTTTTCACTGTAAAATCAGATGATCAAAATGTTATTTCTGACCGTCACTGCTGCATCCTATTAAAAATCTATTTATAAGCAGAGAGGTGTGGTCACTTTGATTCCTTTTGCCGGTCACATCATTTAAATTGTATCTCAGGCCATCTGTCCAGCGCCCGTAGTATGTTACAGCCGTACTGCGCTTCTCGCTACGCTACAGCCCGCAGCAGCTGAACAGCCCCCCCAGCTCAGCAGCACCAAGGCTGC